TCATCGCTCTAATTACCGCGATAATTATTGTAATCGAAGCTCGCAACGTGTTCCCGCGCGATACTCATTCCTTTACAAAACTGTAGCATTTAAGATTTGAGATATCTTTTTTTTCTCTTAAGAATTTACAATAATTCAGTTACATGCATTTTAATCTAAAAACCTTAAAAACTGCATTACTGTTAAACTAGGCTTTTTCCTAATGTAGTCTGCTGTTGCTGTTGGTAATGCTGTGAGGTAGAGGAGTGTAGAGAACCGGAGACTCTTTTTACTGGCAACGAAGCAATTCATCTCGCTAGTCCTCAGGAGTGACAATGCATCTGCATTTTTATTCCTACCCGAGCAAAGATTAATATGTATATAGGTTACTTTCTATTTAATATAGAAGTGGCGGCAAGCGAGCACGCTGCTCACCTGATGGTAAGTGTCGACCGCCACTCATAAACAAATGAAACACCAAGGTATTGCAGGCGCGTTGTCGTCCTTTAAAAAGAGTAAGCTCGTTTCCCGGTTCTCTCTAAGTAGTATCCGTCAAAAGTTACCATCAGGTGGACTATGTGCTCAAAAGTCACCCTTATTCCATTAATAGGGTTGAAGTATATTATAATAATGAAAACCTAATGCAATTCCATCACGATTTCGACAGAACAACGATTCACACAAATACACTGTAGTCATGGATGCAGGTGGCTCAAGAGCGTGCGTGGTTGCATTCCTTGAAAGAGGCTAATGTTAAAATGAGGCTGAAATGACGACTGATGACTTCTGTTGGTTGTATTCGTATTATAAAAACTATAAGGCACTTCGATTATTAGAAATAACAATACATTAAACAATACGACAATTTATTATGTGGTATGGTATGTCCTATACGAGGTAGAGCCACGCCGCAGTTATATTATAGTTGTAGCACGAATAGGTTGGCTCGACCGGGGAAGGACCACGCTCTCACAGAACACCAGCGTAACATAGCAGATTAATACTGTTGGGTTTCGTATGGTGAGTGTAGAGATCCGGAGACCCTTTTTTTAATCGAAACGAGGCATCCCATCTTAGTCCTCAGGGGCAACAACGCATCTGTGCTTTGATTCCTAATCGAGGTTAAATTTAGATGTCAATGGGCCACAGCATCTACTTACCACCCGGAAGACTGTATGCTCGTTTGTCGCCCCTGTTGTATAAAAAAGAAGAAAAACGTGGCATGACTCTCTTTCTGGGCTCCAGTAGTTACCTACCAGCAGGTGGACAGTAGGTCTGATTGTTATTTCAGTTTCATCACCAGCTTGCAAAAATGATTGGTACCAGCAGGTATCAAACCCACACCGGCTTGTGTCAGTTGCGATCCGTAAAATTACGAATAGCGTTTACCCCTGCAGTAACCACGGGTCTATTTAATTAGGTTATGTAGTGAACGTGAATGCCAATGAAATTGATTCGATCACTTACAGTTACCTTCATAGCATAACCTTTTTTCTAATAAATGAGGGTTACAAACGAGCACACAGTTCACCTGATGGTAAGTGGATGCCGTGGCCCATAGACATCTACATTTATCCTCGATTAAGAATCAAAATGCAGGTGCGTTGTCACCCCTGAGGTCAGAGATGTAATGCCTCCGTTCCAGTAAAATAGGTTTCCGGTTCTCTTCACTCACTATATAAAACACAGCAGCGTTGTGCTGCTATTTAACGCTGGTGTTCTTTGAGAGCGTGGTACTTCACTGGTCGAGCCGAACAATTCATACTACAACTCTACTATTAACATAGCTGAAACATGGCTCTACCACGTAAAAATGAAGAATGGCTAGTTCCAGTAAAAAGTGTTTTCGATTCTGTGCGCTTACCATACCAAACGCTGTATTCTGTGAGAGCGTAGTCCTGCCCCGGTCGAGCAGACCCACTCGCAGGTACTGCAACCATTATATAGCTACAGCATGGCTCTACCACCCACAACATCTTACCTGCAAACGGTTAAACACTGTTTTTGGATTACATCCAACGTTTAAGATTTCTTGATAACGATATTCTTTGCTCTATATAAGGTTTCTTTATCACGGACAATCACAAAGGTCAATCGATAAATAATCATTGGAAATTTAATCAATAAAATTACGTTTATGATGATAAGCTTTAAAAATATATTTTGTTATAATTTTATTACTATTTAGACTGCCTCATTGGATTAGTTATCGTAAGGCGGGACTGCTGATCATGAAGTCCCAGGTTCAAATCCCGGGTCAAATAAAAATACGTTATTGGGTTTTCTGACAAAATATTCTAAGTAACAGCCTAAAATCGTCATTATCTTCCTCTTAGCTGTGCTAACTCCCTTGCCTTCGAAGTAAAGCCATTGGTTTTTCGCCTAATCTCTCCCCGGTCTTGAATAGAGAGTGCACCTGTGCTTGTGCATATACTCTTTCGCAGATGACTGAATTTCGGTCTCGAGAACATTATCATTTTGTATGGATAAGTCGTTCGTTAACTTCAAATGTGAGATTTAGGTTTTCGTCGATGTTTGGCTCGGTTGCGCTACTATTGATCACATTTCAAATCCTCTCCACGCGATTTCATTTCCACATTTCCGAGGGGTCGTTGCGATAACGGTACAGATCCACGCAATCGTTCTTTATGATCGTAATTAGTTAGGCTTCGTAGCGAGTATTTGTGTGGTGCATCTACCACATATTGACAAATGACTTGCAGGTAAAATAAATTCATACATTGTTTATTCTCAGATTGCTATAGTTTCAGTCTTATCATCTTCTAGCTCAGGCCAACATCAGACAGTCGGATTACGCCGCACTGCCAGTATTGTTACGTTCATAATCTTAATTCTGGCTCTGTCTCACACGTATTATTTTGAGCTTCAAGTAAATTTCGGTTCAGTGCCATATATAATATTGGCAACGATGACAATGGGATCCATGGGGGAGGCCTGTGTTCTAAAGTAAACTAGGTGGTACGATGTAGTAAAAGTAATTATTTAACGTAAGTCTTTTTCAATTGATCAAATGGGGCTGTAAAACCATTAACTACACCAGATAGTATTTCAAAACATATCATCATAACTGATTGTATAGATTTTTATTGGTTCATTCCGTATCAAATATTGGTGACAACTTTGGAAAGTGTTTAGATGTCATAGAATATCAGCGTCTTAATGCTTAATGCTGCTGTGTTTCATATGGTGAGTGTCGAGGACTGGAGACGCTTTTTACTGGAAACGAAACATTCCATCTTGGTCCGCAGCGGTGGCAACACTTCTGCATATTGATTTTTAAACGAGGGTAGATGTATATTTCTATGAGCCATAGCATCGGCTTACCATCAGGTGGACTGTATGCTCGTTTATCACCTTATTCTATAAATAAAAGATGTTCGTCCATCCAAGCAATAAGTGGCAGTCGCGCACAAACAGGACGTCTTATCAGCGACTACTTGACGTGCTGATAGTGATAGATAGCTGGCCGCGATCCACCGCGCTGCCACGTGATTCATCGCCGATTTAGAAATTCTATTTTTTTATTAATATTAAACTGTTCTTTTTTTTCAACGAACAAACAGTACACCTGATTGTACACTAGGTAAGTGGACGCTGTGGCCCATAGACACCCACATTTATTATCAGTTAAGTATCATAATGCAGACGCGTTATCATCCCTGAAAGCTAAGATGGACACCGCGTTTCCAGTGACAAGAATTTTCATTCCTCTAGACTACCATAAGTAACACAGCAGCATTAAGCTGCTATTTTAAGCTGGTATTCTGTAAGAGCGTGGTCCTACCTCGAGCCGACCAATTCGTGCTACAACCGTAATATAGCTACAACAGGGTTATTACAAGTAAACGCTTCGCAAGCGAGTTGGCAAACGCAGCCTGCTGATTTGTTCAGCTGTAATCAGCTCCCATCTCCTAGTTCGGTCTTCCTCTGTCACCACTTACAACACCTACAGGATGTTATCAAGTTGTGGATATTCTTATACGGCAACTACACGGCACGGTGTAAATAGTCACAAATATTCCAATAGATGTTGGTAGTATCATCCACTGTTTATACGTGGTAGAGCCACGCTGCAGCTATATTATGGTCACAGCACGGGTGGGTTGACTCGATTGGTGTAGGACCACGCTCTCACAGATTATCTTAATGCTGCTGTGTATCGTATGGTGAGTGTAGAGAACCGGAGACCCGTTTTACTTTTACTGGAATCGAGGCATTCCATCTTAATCCTCAAGGGTGACAAGTAATAACGCATCTGCATTTTGATTCTTAATCGAGGATATATGTAGATGTCTATGGACCACAGCATTCACTTACCATCAGGTGGACTGTGTGCTCGTTTGTCACCCGTATACGTAATAATAATTAAACGTGACTTTAAATACCCAGATCTAATCAAACCACCTACCAACCCAACAACGCTCCCTCTAAAGGGGGAGCCATGACCAGTAGCGGATTTTTAGGGGCTGATGAAGAAGAAGAAGTATACACACCCTGCCGTAAATAGAGATTTAACTTAATGTTATAGGCATTCTGTATCTTATTTGGGTAAATTCTAACCGTTGGAAAAAATGTGTACTTAAGAGCTTCTTATCGCAATGTGTCTGGCAGTACGGAATTGTTGAATCGATTGTTAAAGACTATTGGAAAAAAAGACACCATTTTTGACTTTCAAAAAGTGCTTTGTAAGGGCAAATTATGAATAAAAAAATACTGACTTCGATTTCCACTTTATTTTACGTAATAAATAACTCAATAATTCACTCATGATGTACCTAGTGTCGCCTTCTATTATATTGCAAACTTAGTAAAGCTAGAAAGACTTGTGTATATTTCAAGTGATGCAAAAACAATTTACAACCGACTACATTGTTATAGATGCGTATGTATGAGGTCAATAGGTAAATTTTAGAGGCATTAGAAGAAGAATTATGTATGCGTGAGTGCGCGTTGAAGAGTTGGCATGCGGCATCAACTGTAACATTAGCAACGTTGAAGAGTTGGCATGCGGCATCAACTGTAACATTAGCAACGTTGAAGAGTTGGCATGCGGCATCAACTGTGACATTAGCAACGTTGAAGAGTTGGCATGTGGCATCAACTGTAACATTAGCAACGTTGAAAAGTTGGCATGCGGCATCAACTGTAACATTAGCAACGTTGAAGAGTTGGCATGCGGCATCAACTGTAACATTAGCAACGTTGAAGAGTTGGCATGCGGCATCAACTGTAATATTAGCAACGTTGAAGAGTTGGCATGCGGCATCAACTGTAACATTAGCAACGTTGAAGAGTTGGCATGCGGCATCAACTGTAACATTAGCAACGTTGTAAAGTTGGCGTGCGGCATCAACTGTAACATTAGCAACGTTGAAAAGTTGGCATGCGGCATCAACTGTAACATTAGCAACGTTGAAGAGTTGGCATGCGGTATCAACTGTAACATTAGCAACGTTGAAGAGTTGGCATGCGGCATCAACTGTAACATTAGCAACGTTGAAGAGTTGGCATGCGGCATCAACTGTAACATTAGCAACGTTGAAGAGTTGGCATGCGGCATCAACTGTAACATTAGCAACGTTGAAAAGTTGGCATGCGGCATCAACTGTAACATTAGCAACGTTGAAGAGTTGGCATGCGGCATCAACTGTAACATTAGCAACGTTGAAGAGTTGGCATGCGGCATCAACTGTAACATTAGCAACGTTGAAGAGTTGGCATGCGGCATCAACTGTGACATTAGCAACGTTGAAAAGTTGGCATGCGGCATCAACTGTAACATTAGCAACGTTGAAGAGTTGGCATGCGGCATCAACTGTAACATTAGCAACGTTGAAGAGTTGGCATGCGGCATCAACTGTAACATTAGCAACGTTGAAGAGTTGGCATGCGGCATCAACTGTAACATTAGCAACGTTGAAAAGTTGGCATGCGGCATCAACTGTAACATTAGCAACGTCCGTCATTCTTTGTGTGTGTAATGATGAAAATCAAACAGGAGATGAGCAAAGCATCAGGAACATACCACCATCTATATCAACACAAATATAAAAAAATTAGGATCACCAATCGACCTACCACCTAAACGTGGCAATTATGGCAAATGTTAAATGACCTCTCCAAGCCAAGAGAGAAGCTGTATTCAACAGTTAAGTTTTGATAGGTTGAAATGAGTAAATGATATATCAATGATGGAAGATGTTTTTACTTATCAACGATTATTTTGATGCATATATTTTGTCAGCTATTTTTCTTGTAATTCTCACGCAATATCAAAGCCATCGTCGAGAGACATGAGTGCTCCGTGGACAGATCACGACAGCAGCGACTGACAGGTGCGCTGACATCTGTCAGTCTGTCAATGTAGTGCGTTGTAGATAAACAGCTCGAGGAAGAAGCCAAAAACTATCGTGCAAAATTAAAATGCTACATTGAAAGATATAATCTCAGCAAGGCCAGATTTCTTACTTTTTATGCTCATAAAATTGAATTGGAAAAATAAACATTTATAAAAGTTAAATTCATATATACTTAGGTAATAATGCTATAAAAATAGATAAAGCCAGAGATGCTTAGCAGATGTTTCATATATTAAGCCTATGAGTAAAGAAAAGAAAACGCGAATTATTCCAGGCGAACCTACTTCGGATGTGTGTTGGTGACTTGCGACACGGGGGGTGTATTCTTCCCCTTTCGCCGTAGGAAATCCGAAGTCGTGAGGAAGAGGAATTTTTCACACTCGCACTATCTTTTGCAACTCTGGCAGGGCCGCACCTATGATGCAGTGATGGTGGGTCGCGGGGGGAGAAGGGTGTAACTCACAGTATATTCTAGAGCGCCTTGCCTGAACAGGAGAAGGGTGAAGCGTTGCCTTACCGCTTTAGTGTAGATACTCTATGCATTCGAACCAAACAGTTTGGGTCGCCTACATTTTTTTCGTTGATCGTCTTTACAGTTCTTTATTAGCACGTGTGCAGCAAAGCAAATAATAAGAGATACCACAATTTGCCAGCATCAGTGACTGCATACGTTTACAAACTGGGTGTCTTGGAAGCCATAAGATCTTTGTCACATTGCCTCTTACGACAGTCATGCTATGAAGTTGGCGATGGATACAGCACCCATGGTCACGTGAGGGTCTGATAATTTTGACGCAGAACGAGCTTATGATATATTATATGTCGTATGTCAGAGGACTATCATATATCAGATGAGTCACAAACAAGTTGACTACATCTTGAAACGAGCTACCATGAAAACATACCATAAGCTGCCGTACAATATCCCTCTACAAGATGCACAAGAGTGTACAAGCTAGATTTTGAATGTGATCTCTCTCACATAGGACAAACAAAAACATCTATAGAAACTCCCGTGAAAGAACTTATATAATATTTATACGTGGTAGAGTCACGCTGCAGCTATATTATTACCAGCGTAAAATAGCAGCTTAATACTGCTGTCTTTCGTAAGGTGAGTGTAGAGATTCGAAGACCCTTATTTACTGGAAACGAGGCATTCCATCTTAGTCCTCAGGGGTGACAATGCATCTGCGTTTTGATACTTAATCGAGGATAAATGTAGATGTCTATGGGCCACAGCATCTACTTACCATCAGTCAGACAGTGTTGTCATTTGTCACCCTTATTCTAATAAAAAAAATATAGCTGACGTAAAGCACTGACACATCGGGAAGTCTACAGTCTGTGAAAATGTTCAAGATCTGAATAAATGAAGAAGAATGAACACCTGTTCCTACGGATGATACGCGAGGCTATTGAAATTAAAAAAAAACTCCTAATTTCAATAGAGATGATGGATGGGTGCTGCCGTCTGCTTAGGATACTATAATTAACAAAATTCAAATTCCAAGATACTACTGCAAGAATTCAAGATACTGTACTGTATTTGACACTGAAATTATATTTATTTTACTGAAGAGAGCCATTAGAGCAATATATAATTTAAAACCAAAAGAGTCACTGAGACAAAAATTTAAGGAAATTAATATATTATCTCTGGCCTCTCAATATTTTTATGAAAATGTAATGTACGTATACAAGAATAAACCTAGTTTTGCAAAAATAAGTGATATTCATTCTGTAAATACTAGGAACAGACACAAGCTAGTAGTACCAGTTACTCGATTCCACCGAGTCGGTAATTCATTCTATGGGCGATGTATACGCTTTTACAACAAAATCCCAGAAAATATACAAAATTTGTCGTACGCAAAATTCAAAATTTTTATTAAACTAAGTTTGTATATAAAGGGTTATTATAATATTAAGGAATTTATGGATGATAATAACCCCTGGGAATGGTGGTCGCTACCAAGCTATTTCTAATTTGTCTTGTGTTGTTAATTGTAAACATGATTGTAAGCTATTATTTGAAAAAATAAATAGTGTCGCTGGGTTTCTTGCTGGTTCTTCCCAGGACAGAGGTTTTTTTTGCAAACCAGTGGTAAATGAAAAAATTGACTTTCAATAACTATTGTTATAATCTACATTGAATAAAAAAGTTTCTGTTTCTGTTTCTGCGATCGGACCAAAAATTAATATACAAAAAGCAAAAACTGAAGGTATCCGCTAACCATGACATTAAGACGTCAAATATCCGCGTTCCCCCTGTGACCACGGGTGCTGTAAAGCACCCGAAACATCGAGAACTACATATAAGTTAACTAAACGCTATAAAATCCGTATAAATAGTTTTATTCAATATCATATCTCAAATGAATACTGAGTGTGATTTGTAAATACAGGTAATGGAAAGGTCACTGACATTATTAAATGAATAGAATGGAATAAAACAACTTTCAGTCAATATAGTGTTACATAAAACTTATTGAAAGTCATTTTTTAATTTACCGCTGGTTCTAAAAATACCTCTGACCTGGGAAGAACCAGCAAGAAACCCAGTATAATTTTGTACAATTTTTGTTTTGAAAATAGAACAGCCTGGTGGTAATCACCTCATTCCCAGGGGTTATTTTCGTTCATGTTTTCCTTGATATTATAGTAACCCTTTTTGTACAATTTAAACGAAGGCGCTCTACTTGCTATGTCACTAAACGTTTTCCCGTCTGCAGACAACATATGTTCTAATAACCGGCACGTCACATAGAGTGCAAATAGAGGCGCTCGCAGCCTGGCTTGAGGATTACACGGGCGCGGTGTGTGCAAGCCGCGTTATCAGCGAGCATCGCCCCCTCCTCTCCCCCCCGCACCCTTCACCCCAGGGCCAGTTGAATGACGCAGCCACTCTTGACTGCCAACAAAGTAGCTTCAATACCTATTTTGTTGCTTGCTTATAAAATGTATATTTTCAGCAATAAGTTGCAGCAAATTAGAATGCATCTTTAGCTATAGAAATATTTAAAAAAATATTATTAATTATGAAATATGGAAATCGTTAGAAGCTAAGTGTTTGACGGTGAAGAAAAATATCATAAATAGTGATGAGTGTAGATAACTAGAGACCATTGTTACAGGTAGAGAGGCACTCCATCCAATTCCCAAGGGTTTACGCATTTAGATTTAGATTCTTAATCGAGGATAAATGTAGATCCAAGGGCAATAATGGTAATAAATATTAATGTCCTCCAGACCGAATCGCAGTCACGGCGCGAATCTGAACGTAGACTAGCCATCTGTGCAGGACAGGATCACAGTGCCCGAGTGTATGCGCAAGCACAGGTGCACTCTCTATTCCCTCACTCATAGTGCGATGGGACGGTAAACAGAAACGATCGGAGAGTAATCACACGCAGGACCTGCAGAGCTTTACGTGTTTTTCGAGGCCGTGGCATATATGTATATAATTAAATTTTAAGGTAAAAGCCACAGCATATATATGTCCCACTGCTGGGCACAGGCCTCCTCTCGTTTCTGAATGGGTTTCAGGCAAATGTAGAACATTATTTTAGCAACATACAAGCATTTTAGTTCACAGTTGAGCAGCGTTTCTCAAAAATTTCACCTTTAAGATATTTATAGATAATTATAGATAATTGTATGACAATTATATTTTAAAATTCATATTAAAATAATTCAACTTTAGATTTAACTAACGATCCGCTCTGGTTTCCACTGGGTAAGGTCTATAAAGATGGCGTTGTTTGGATTTAAAGTAATCAAAGATCATGTATTTTATAAATTTTTAAGAAATAACCAAGTTTTCCAAGACCACTAGTGGGTTTGCTCTCTATCTGTTCGTGAAGTTTTATCACATCCGGTTCTGCTCTTCTGAAGAATAACGCGGGCATACACAGACGGATGGACAGACAGATTTTTTAAATAATAGTTAGGTACTTAGGTGTGAATGGCATGCAAGTAACCCCCTCAGCTCAATACAACGCAGTTAATTTGTTATTAGAGAAATATACTTCTATTTATGTACATGCATAAATTTATTATTTTACTTTGTACCGTTACCCCAACATTTGCGTAGTAATTTTTTTATTGGATAAGGGTGACAAACGAGCACACAGTCAACCTGATGGTAGGTGATTGCTGCGGCGCATAGACATCTACATCAGTTCTCAATAACGATATTCAAAATGCAGATGTGTTGTCAACCGCGGTGACCACGATCGAATGCCTCTTTTCCAGTGAAAAGTGTCTTCGGTTCTCTATACTCACCATACGAAACACAGCAGCGTTATGCTGCTATTTTACATTCTGTGAGAGCGTGGCCCTTCCCCGGTCGAGCTGATCCATTCGTAATATAACTATACTACTAATATAGCTGCAGCATGACTCACCACATAAATATGTATATACATAGATACGAGTACATGTCAACAGGACTTACATCTTGACCATTTTCATCAATATCTTAAACTAGATCTGAACTGTCCATGTGAAGTCTGACTGTGTCATTGATTAGTTTATCTCTTGTAGCGATTTTTTGGTTATCTTGATATACAATTTTTTATTTACCTTGATAAAGAAAAAAATGTATTAAACACAAGCTG